GTTGCCAATGTCTTTAATGTGTAATAATTTCTTTTTTGTTTGTCTTTCAAATACAAATTATTTACTTTTGTATAGAACACGGAGAAAAATTGGGCCGGAGGAAATTTTTTGCCAATAGAAAAAGCCTAATAATGAATGAGTTTCGAATTTAAAAAAAACAGTATTTTTTTCTTCTAGCAATTAGTTTTAAGTTAATATCGAACTACCGTCTTTACCAAGGTGGGAGGACGAGACCCCTAGTTTAAATATACGTAAGTTAGGACCATTATTTCCCAGATAAGGTTTAGTCAGATCAATATCTCGACGTTAATGGGTAAGTGATGCCATTATCTTTGAGATAAATGCCAAACATCACGTAAATATTGGCGATGTTCGGTCAGAGAAAAGGGCTAATCAAGATCAATATCAGGGACATTTGGGCCAGAGTTAAGGGCAAGCCAAGATCATTATCAGGAAAATGACACCATTATTGTGTCGGCGTCAATAAAATCTTTATCTTCAGAAAAATCTTTATCTTTATCTTCAGAAAGTACAATTATCGTGGAGATAAGGTTAGATATAATCCAAATTTCAGGAAAGCGTCAGACAATTCGTTCTCTCTTAGATAAGTATTACTGTCTTAGAAGCACGTCCAATCTAGACCACTCCCTCGAATGTAAATGCTTGATAGTATCATTATCTTTGAGGGGATAAGGACCACACTGAACCATTAACTCGAGGATAAATCAGGACGATTATGCTCAGGTCAGCACAATTTTCAGAGAAGAACCAGTGTCTTTTACATGGGAGTAAGACAATATCTCAAAGATAAGGGGCAGACAGAAACCTTTTTTTCTGAGATAAACATAGGCCAGGACTATTGTCTCAAAGTCATTGTCCATAATAACAGGAAATGGTTTAGCCATGATCCAAATCTCATAAAAGGCCTCAAAAGGACGATCATCTTTCAAATAAGTATTATTGTCTTGGATGCAGGCCCAGGCAAGACCATTCTCTCGGATATAAATGCTTGATAGTATTATTATCTCTGAGAGGATAAGTCCCACACTGAACCATTAATTAGAGGATAAGGCAGGACCATTAGGACTAGGTCAACACCATTATCAGAGAAGACCCAATATCTTTTAGTGTAGTAAGACAGCATCTCATAGATAAAGGACAGCCAAAAACCTTTTTTCTGAGATAAACGTAGGACAGGACTATTGTCTCAAAGCTAAGGGCAAGACATGCCCATAATCTTAGGGATACGGGCCAGTAGAACAAAGGTCTCAGTCGTAAGGAACGTCTCAAAGATAAGGCCGGTCAATGGCAAAAATTGGGAAACATGAACCTTTAATAAAATATATGGTTTAGCCTGGACGATTGTCTCGAAAATAAAGTCCAGATAGGGCCAACATTTCGAAAAAGGGTTATTGTCAGCACCATTCTCACAGTGATAAGGGCCAGTCAGGTCTATTATCTCAGAGATAATGGCAAGGGTAGGATACATTTCTCTCTTCTAGCCAAACTGAGTGACTCGGAGATAAAACAGATATGATCATTATTTTCGAGATAGAGGTCTGTTGCGATATTAACATCGGAATGTCTCCGAATCATTATTCTGATATAAAGTTCTGTAAGCATCATTATCTATGATAAATGGGCCAGTCAGGAAGTTTCTCCAAGATTAGGGCCAATCAGGACACTCTTCGCTTATTTGTAGGCTAAAAATAAAATCATCTAAAAATTCGGGATCACTATTTCAAAAATAGTGTTCTGTCAAAACTTTTTTTTAGAAAATGAAAATCGGGACTCTTCAGCGATAAGGTCCAGGCCATTATCCTAGAAATAAGCTTCAGGCCCAAGCTATAAGAATTTTTATTATCTCTGAAATAAGCGCTACATATACTCAAGATCCCTATCTCTGAGATAAGAGTTACACAGGACTATTATCTTGAAGATAAAAGTCAGATAGGACCTTTTTGGACATAAGTGTTGGACAGTAGCATTATCTCGAAGATAGGGACAAGTTATCCCAGAAGTAACGGTCAGCCATTACCGAGGAAGTTACACCAGGAAGGATAATTAATTCGACACCATTATCATGGAGATATGGGTCCGGGAGGATCATTAATTCGAAGATATAAGTTTTAGAGGATCAATGTTATATGTGAGAAAAATATCTATCAGGGTAATCAGGGTCGTCTTTATCCCAGGGATAAACTTATCTATGGGGTAGTGATCCTTCCTAACCCATATCTCCGTGACACTGATGTCGGCACCCTCCAGACTATTTTCGCGATAATATTCGGCATCTATTCTAATACCACGGTCGATTAATACGAGCGGAGAACGGCCATCGGCTGTTATGGCTGCACACATTATCACCATGGCCGGCGCTTGAGTTCTGGGAGCCAACCGAAAGTGCACATTTTCAGCTGACCTCTTTGGTAAGTAAACACGATCATTTTGTTTGTTTATAAACTGCTGGACAACGAATGTTTTCTCATCAGAGAAAACCAAATTAATCAGTTCACCACTTTCGGCCAAGCGAAGCAACTCTTTAGCTTTTTTGAGTATATTTTCTTTCTGTTGCGGTGTAAGTGCTCGCACTTCTTGGAATTTCAATGGTTTTACCCCGAGCTCATTTTCCAATATTTGCCGAATGGAAAATTACGATATGTTCAGCTCACGAGCCATTTATTCGGCCACTGCGACGCGGGTTTCGATCAATTTACTTTTCGAAACATTTCCGCTGATGTTGCTCTTTTTTCCGTCCTTGACGTGTGGCTACCAATGTCATGGTAACGAGCGATGGTACGAGACACAAAATATGGTTTTACAGCCAAATATAGAGAAATCACACTATCACGCTTGAATTCCATCACGAATAACCTTTTTTCCGGAAAATTCTCACCTAAATGCTTTTGTACGCTTGTAAACAATATAATGAGCTGTCACTGGAATAATTTTAACAGCAGTCGGAGTAGTAGCTTAGAAATGGCAGCAGTCTGAAGGTGGTTGCAGTTTTTTCATCACACACTCTGTATATTCCGAAAGTACTCTCCGAGACCATCCGATTAAATGCGGGGAGGTTCCATTTTTTCTATATATTTTGTAATTATTCTGCGCTTTTTAAACAATTTTTATATATCTTTTTGTGATATATTTTAGATCATCTTTAAGTTTCTTCCTCTCTATCTCTCTCATTCTATATTGACCCTTTTCTGAGCTCGGTATCTGTCTTTGCTGGTTACATTTAAAACAATGTTGGCATTTTACCAGAGGGTAAGGCTGGGTATATATCTTTCCGAAACCATAGAAGCATTACCATTTTTCTCCCCTAATAAATAAACGTTGTTTTTATAAAACAAAGGACATTAGGGTTTAAGGGATAATGAGTTCAATTTAAATTTTTATCACGGACCTCAGACAGACCTATTATATTTGACATTATATCGGATTATATTCCAACTTTCCCATTTTGAAATAGTATTTCTTCGAAGAGCCTTTCAATATTTTTCTCAGTTTAGTTTTTTTTTTTTTTTTTTTGCTTTGTCGAAGAACCCCAAGAACGATGACATCAGTGACAATAGCAACAGCAGCATTATTTGAGCTGTTGCAGAATTTGCCTTGGCACAAGATTCTACATATTTTTCTTGTGCTGGTGGTGGTGATGTTGTTGTGGTTAACAAATCATTGAACAATAATTAATCGGCTATTAATAATTATCTATGCGACGACGACGAAGGGGGGGTTAAAATATGCAACATCAGAAAAACAAGCCAAGGCAGAGTTAAAATTAGAATATTGTGAATGCCCTAAAAAAATAGTGGAGGAGGGTGGATGAGGGAGGGTGCAGACTATGTTGGAAAAATAGACAACCCATACTAAGCAAATGGTTGCGAGGATTTTCCGCACATCATTCCAGACTAAGATTTAAGGAGCAATATATTCCTTGGAAAGGGATTTTAAACGCCTTGGTCATATTTTGGAAATTTATTGGGTCTGAGGAGCTATTTAAGGAAGACAGGTGGAAAGTTAATTTTCTAGGTATTAAAATCCATTTTCTTTTCCTTTGCTCGGCCCTTTTCCAATTTTCAATATATTGGTATACCCTGGAAAAATGTATGTGGTTAGAGTTAACATATTTAAAATTCCACACATCCTGATGACCCATTTAACATTTTTGGTAAACTAGAGCAAATAGTGTCGATACTCCACAAAATGCGACCTTAAATATCTGCAAGTATGTCATTCATCTCCCGCCTGCCAAAGCAGCATTGTGGACCACTTCACATGTTGATTGTGCTACTTATTTCAAAAAACGTAGAAACTTCCTTTGGATTACTTTGCCATAACATTATTTTCTGTTGAAAACAACCCGCCGGAGGCTTCGTAGAAACAATTTCAAAACTCATAACACAAACGACGAATGGTTAGATGGCATTTTATGGATACTCAAAAGGAAACGACATTCACTGACAATCACCAAAGAAATGTGTGCTGCTCAAAGTTTAACGAACTTATTTCAATTAGAATACAGACACACACATACACACATATATATACACATACTTGACCCAACACACACACACACGCATACACACAACACAACCATGGCAAGCAATGACAAACATACATAAGCGGAAAATGTTGAAGCATAGCTACATAGCTCGGCAGGCTGGCAACAGATAACGACCCCTCCACTGTGATGGAGGTAACAGAACCACTTGTCATGAAAATGGTAACAACTTGTCAAAAGCTTTTCATGTAAAAGCTTTTCCTTACCTTCGGTTTGTGTCTTTGCCATAGAATTCATTTCTCCTCTTAACTGTTATATTTTATTCTCGATTTTATTACTGTTATAATATTGCTTATTTTGTATAACAAATAAAATTTGTGTTATATAAAAAATGGTACTAAAAAAACATACAAAATATCTTAACCTATTATATATCTATGTATTTGTGTATATTATTTATGTAGTTGTAGTAGTCTAATATTTGTTTTTTTAAAAGAAATGGGGGCCTCTTCTTGAATATATTTTGGAAATGGAGGCGGAAAGGTGGGTCTTTCTGTAGTTTTTTTTTTTCAAACATCACATTATTGATCCATTTCGTTCATATCCTCTTCGTCCCATTCCCAGTCGCTGAATTCGTTGTCCTAAAAAATGGAAGAACAAAGAAATTAATTAAAAAATATAGAATTTGAGGATTTTTTTTTCTGTGGAAAAAAGTCTCCTCTGTGCGAGAGAATTTTTTTATGGAAAAAGTCTCCTCAGTTGCTGAGGAAATTTTTATCTATGGAAAAAAGTCTCAGTTGCTGAGGAAATTTTTTCAATGGAAAAAAGTCTCATCAGTTCCTGAGGAAATTGTTTTCTATGGAAAAAACTGTCCTCAGTTCCTGAGGAAAGTGTTTTCTATGGAAAAAACTGTCCTCAGTTCCTGAGGAAATTCTTTTCTATGGAAAAACTGTCCTCAGTTGCTGAGGAAATTTTTTCTATGGAAAAAACTGTCCTCAGTTGCTGAGGAAATTTTTTTCTATGGAAAAAAGTCTCCTCTATGCCAGAGGAAATTTTTTTCTATAGAAAAAAGTCTCCTCTGTGCCAGAGGAAATTTTTTTCTATAGAAAAAAGTCTGCTCTGTGCCAGAGGAAATTTTTTCTATAGAAAAAAGTCTGCTCTGGAAATTTTTTTCTATAGAAAAAAGTCTCCTCTATGCCAGAGGAAATTTTTTTCTATAGAAAAAAGTCTCCTCTGTGCCAGAGGAAATTTTTTTCTATAGAAAAAAGTCTGCTCTGTGCCAGAGGAAATTTTTTCTATAGAAAAAAGTCTGCTCTGTGCCAGAGGAAATTTTTTTCTATAGAATAAAGTCTCCTCTGTGCCAGAGGAAATTTTTTTCTATAGAATAAAGTCTCCTCTGTGCCAGAGGAAATTTTTTTCTATAGAAAAAAGTCTCCTCTATGCCAGAGAAAATTTTTTTTCTATAGAAAAAAGTCTCCTCAGTTCCTAAGGAAATTTTTTTCTATAGAAAAAAAGTCTCCTCAGTTTCTGAGGAAATTTTTTCTATCAAAAAATGTCTCCTCAATACCTAAGGATTTTTTTTCTATCGGAAAAGTCTCTTCAGTTCCTGAGGACATTTTTTTCTATCGAAAAAGTCTCCTCAGTTCCCGACGAAATTTTTTTCTATCGAAAAAGTCTCCTCAGTTTCTGACGAAATTTTTTCTATCGATAAAAGTCTCCTCTGTGGCTGAGGAAATATTAGTCTGTGGAAAAAATATACTCACATAATCATCCAAACCCGACGATTCCACTGGATATGAGCTTGGCGTACAAGCCATATACGCCACACCGCTATTATGACCCGAACATTCACAGGTGTAATTATCAGACGGTACCGCACTCTTGGCCACACGCTTGGCAAATATTGTTGCCAGTCGCTTGATGGGATATTTACGCTCGGGCATCAGCTTACGGGCACTGAATATCGAACCATTGGTCTCCATGGCTAATGGCGTACAGATGCCCAAGTTACTCTTTGGAATGGTTAGGGCATGACGTGTCTCCGCATCACCCTCTGGGAAACGTTTCGAATAGACCATTTCACGATCCATGCCAAAGAAGTGACGTAATTTTCGAGTCTTTTCGAAATCGAATTCGGTATCGGCCAAAATGTGGAGATTGACACCTTCCTCCTGCATAAATTGCAGAATGGAACTATAGTCGAATAGCATATTGCCAGCGGCACAGTTGCTGCAGGACAAAAGGATAAAGGTCTTCGATACGCCTGGGCGGAAGTCGAGACGAGAGGCAACGGAGATTGCCTGCAAAATGTCGCTGTTGGTGCCGTTGTTGGCATTGATGTGATCGAAGTACTGTTCCAGCTTCTGATGGTCGTGGGTGAAGACGGAGTTTTCGTAATAAATGCTGCGTGGGGTGTCGAAGGGAGCCACACCGCCAAAGGTTACCACGGCATAGCTGGAAGAGAAAAAAAAATGAAATACGAAGTTAGTTCTCTCCTAAAAGGTTTTCAAATTTTAGAAACATACCGATTATTGGTTATACCATTGGCCCGCAGTTGCTCCTCGATGGTGTCCACCACTGTCATTATGTTTTTGTTTTCTTTGAGATTGACATTACAAGGTTTAGCCTCTACAATGAAGACCACATCACTGCTGCGTGGTATCTCGGGGGCAGCTAGCTCCACAAAGGTACCCTCCGGTACATATGAGCCATTGGTCAGTTGACAGCTGTGGGGGATATTTTTAAATTTTAATTGGATATTAAACATTTATGTGGGGGGTTCTTTGAACTTACAAAATACATTTATCGGGCACCCTCATGGGAATCTTGGAACTGGCACAGGCCTCAATGTAGGCCAGGGCCGCTGTACAGGCTCCCTTATTGGCCGGATGGCCCTGTTTCACTTCATTCGAATTGCTGCCCAAATCCAAGCAAATCTCATAGAATGGCTTGGGATCCACGGTGTCGGCACAGGCCGATAGCATACCCGATTTGAAATAGTAATCACATACCGCGCTAACTTCCTGGGGCACAACCACTTGCACTGTGGCCGGCTTCATTTTTTGCTTGCAACCCTTTACGCTCCAGGAATCGGTGAATTCACTCAAATCTGTGGTAATATTATTATACGAAGTGGTATACTCATCGAAGGGTTCGTTGTTCATGGTACCCAACAGACCAGCCGTTTGTCCAAAGTACCAACCGCTAACCTCAAACCAGCACAAGTCGAATTGGACATTACAACTCAAACTGAATTCGGTGTCCGAGGTGATGGTGAGAATATCCAATTCCCGAGTTATGGTAACTCCACCCAATTTCAGAGGTAGGAGATAGGTTGGATCGCCATTAATGGTTATGCTCTGAAAGAAGATAATGTTTTTAAATTAAACTCAAAATCCTCAGTTTCTCACTCTCTCCCTCTCTCTTTAACACTTACATCAGTACCCAAATCGATTTCAATCAGCTGATCATTGGCAATGAAACTCAATTTTCGTGTGGACACCACATCACGGCTGCTAACATTCACCTTTGGGAAAAATGCAATAAAATTTATGTTAAGGTCAAAGGTCAAAGAAAATAAAATGGCATGCATTTTTGAAAATTTCCCCAAAATCAGGCGATAACTTACCGATGGTTCCAACAACAGCGTGAAATTGCCCTGGAAGAAATCGTGGCTCAACAAATACGAACACTGCATGTTGCGGTGATTGTCGGTCATCTCCTCGAAACGCAGATTTAGGCCAACAAAACGCTGATCGAAGGTCATGTAGTGGCGCGAGTCAATTAGCAGGGCTCGGGCTGGAAATTTTGAATTCGAAATAGTTGTTTTTAATTAATTTTAAAAATAATTTATAATTAATAAGAATGAATATCGAAGGACCCTGAGAACCTGAGGAATGGCTTCAAGGTCCTCATAATCACAAATATTGAATTCTAAGCAACCGAACCAAAAATCGTTAATTTTCTAAAGAAAACGACCTTTTAACCAAAATTAAATATATTTTTCCTAAGGGCCTTGTGGATTTTTATGATTTTTTTAAGAATTGTTGGATTTTCAGGAATATCTTTTGAGGAATCTCGTAGATTATTGAACTTATTTTTCGAGGTCCTAGTGTTTTTTTTTTAATTTTTTTCAAGGTCCTCGTGTTTTTTTCTAGTCATTTTTTCGAGAAACCGGTTGATTATTTAAGAAATGTTTTTGGAGGATCTCACATTTTTTTTTTACAACAATTGAGATCTTTGTATATTTTTTAGAATCTCTTTTCCAGGACTTGTAAACGTTTTAGAAAGCACCTTCAGGATTTTTTAAAAAAATATGTTTTTGCGAATTTTTTTCGATTTTTTGGGGGTCTCTTGGTTTTTTTTTTCATGGACCTCGCGGATTTTTTCTAATACAAAAAAATCTTTAATTTAGATGTCCTCCGATTTTTTCCATGAAAAAAGTTCTCAGGTCTCAAAATTCTTAGATTTTTTTTTGAAAAACTTAAAAATTTCGATACTCACAATAATATGGTGGCAACCAGGTCTTGGGGTCCAGATGCGATTTCAAATTATAGATGTATCGGATCACCGATGAATTCGTGGTGGTGAGGACATTTTGAATTTTCGCCAGAACCCTTAGCTCGGGTATTTCCTCATAGCGTGGTGTCTCATTAAAGGCATGCCATGACATTGGCAACTTCTGTTCCAGATCCATAACGCCAGCCTCAGGGTCGAAAACGAACTTCGTCTTGGGCACACGATACTTGTCGGCTGTTTCCAGTGCATTATTGGCATAATTATTCAATTTGTTGAGCAGCAGGGCATACAGCTTGTGCAGGCGTGTCTCCAACTCCAATTCCTTGGCAACCCATTCCAATTTCTCCACAATTTCTTTGTATTTCTGAATCACAAAGTTCACCTGTTCGATCTTTTGCAGCTCCTTGATTTCCTCCCAAATTTCGGTCAACACTTCGTTCAACTCCGTGCCGAATGGTACCAACTTGAAATATTTCTCCTTGAGGAAATTCCAAATAATCACCGAATATTTGCGGATATTTGTTATGGCATCATTGGATTTGATATCGCGATACAGGCGATCCACATCTTGGGTGAAACTCGATACCTTATTGAAATATGGGGATTCGGCCAATTCATTGGTTCTCTTGTAAATGAAATCGAACAGCTCCTTGCTCAAATCCCAGAGGGCCGACTCAACTTGACTTATGAACTTAAAGACATGGGGCTCAATGCGTTTGAACACACCCTTCCAGTAATTGGTCAAGTTGGCCCAGGCCTTGGCCCACAGATTCTCCACATATTTGATAAATGAAATATGGAGGTCCTTGACAAAGCGATCATATTTGTGTACACCCTGTTCCAAAAGCTCGGAAACATATTGCAAACCCTCACCGCGGAAGAAACGTCCGACATGTATGAGGAACTCATTGTAGGATTTCTTGATGTTCTCAATCAACCATTTTATAGACTCTCTCAAAGCTTGACCCGAATCACCCATCGATTGCCATATTTCCGAGAAAATCTTGGGCAATGACTCAATGTGATCCTTTATGGCCAATTCATCGAGTATGGCCAAAAGGAAATTAATAACATCCTTGATATAGAAATCATTGGCCTCATATGACTCATTAATGAAATTCCTTAATTCCGTAATATCATCTTCCAATTCCGATAGTTCTCGCAAATCATCAAAGAAGGCGCTATTATACCGCTTGGCTGTATCCCACATAATATCCATAGATTCCACAGCTTCGCTATAAATGGCCTTAATCCAAAAGTCCAGGCCATCCGAGAAGGAGCTATAAATACCCGAACTAACGGTAAATATTTTCTCTTTCAGCTCCTCCTTCATTTGTGGACGCCAATGGAAGCGACCCGTCACCAAACGCGAATGATTCATTTTCAAATACGATGTCACATCGATAATTCGTATTTCTTCATAGTTCCGCCAAATATCCAAATAGGCACTGCGCGTATCGGGAATTGTGCCAATCATTTGCAAATTTTGACTATCGTCTTCTGTCAAATTCACTTCGGCTCGTATGAATTTGTTCAGCAGATCAATGTAAATGTAGCCGGTATTATTTGTTTCCGGTGTATCCCAGACGGAGGCATTGAAGCCGTAAATGGGATGCTGAATGTATGGCTTGCCATATAAACGGACACAACGACTGGGAGTGGTACGCTAGAAGAAAATTTGAAAATATTGGCAAAATTAAAATAAAATAAAAAAATAATAAAAAAGGGATGTAAAATTAAAAATAAAGTAAAAAATTATGGTTCCCAGTGATTGAATCTCTTTTATTGCTAACGGTAATACATTACAGAAGTAATTCCTTTAGGGGTGCCTCTAATGAAAATTCTAGTTCGTTCAGTTGGATCAAATGTTGACCTTAAAATTGTTGTCCAGAGAATTAGATTTGATAAATAGAATTTCCTATGATCGCATCTCATTCATTAGTTTGGTAGCACATTACAGAAACACATCTTTCAAAGGGAAAATTTGCATGAATGACACCATTTGATGGTGTTGTTAAGTGAACATGTTCGTCGTTTATAGCCCATGGAAAATTTCGAAAGTCTGAGAACTTCTTGAAGCTAGTTTGTAATCCATATATAAACATTTGGTATAATAACTCATTAGCCACCTCAACATCTCTTGGCATTACGAGGTAATGGCTACATAAACATCCTTCTAATTACTGGAGACAGTATAGCGTGAAACATGGTAGAATGTGGGCTTATGATTGAGTATGTCGCCAGGACTTGTGACTACATAGTTGCCCCTCTATTTAGCCTAACCTAATATAACTTCTAAGCACCAGCATCAGTAAAATTAAACAGTCATATTAATCGGATATTTCTACATAATATAATCTGCTTAGCATTTTGCAGCCTGTTTACAGGTGAACGCTTAATATCGGGTAGAGAGTGAGGAGTACCCGCAAGCGTCCCTCACAAAACAGAAGAGTTGAGAGTAAACTTCATACTCGTAAGCGAGTATTTCTCACTCACAAGTAAAATTGAGGAAATGTGAACTCAACATTAAAATTGGGTATAGTAACAAGTTGAAAGGACTACAACCATTAGTCACAAATATTTTGTCTGCCCAAGTTCTGGAATTTTTTCCTTTTTTTGTGTTACATGTAATTGGTACTCCAAATAGGGACTTTCAAATCTCAAGAAGAATTTGAAGCTAAGGAATCGTAAAATTGCTTTATGTGTAATTCACGCTTGGTCGCTAATTTTTGTCTGAATTACTCCTTAGAAGGCTATGTAAACCTGTTTACTCATTACCAAGTAATGAGTAAACGTGGCACAGTGGATGCCTTACTGACTAAATATCTTGGGCCTATGAATTTCTCGGTCTACGAAAAAGAAACAAAAATGATTTGCCACATGAGCCAACTAACTCCCTACTTATCATACCTACGAGTATGTTCATCATAATAGGGGTCCTTCAACCATATTTCCATGTAGTTTTCAGAAATTTGTCTACCATCCCTCATCTTATTTTCACATTACAGAGCAATAACCAAAATCTATGGTTTCTAATATAAAAAGGGAAAGAAAAACTCATAAAATTTATTGGTTTCAAAAATTTTCAAATCGGTCGACTTTAAGAACGTTTTTTTTTTTTTTATACCAACAAGAGTACCAAGGAATATCAACATGGACCTTTTAAATAATATTTTGAATGACCAACAAGGTCATATTATCATATATGAATTTGTTAAGAATAATCAAATTGAATTTTTAAAATAAATTCAGAATCATCTTTTGGGACTGGATTATACATTCCCTAAATAAAAGTTTTTATTGGAAATTTATTTGATGTAGATCATACCAATTGTGAACCTTTTTTGAATGCGTATTATGGCTTTAGAGGAGTTATAATTTGGAAACAGAAGGGACCAATGATGGGAGGTATATCCAACTCTGAAGCGGCTTCAACAAAATTTGTCGGGGCATTTGTACCTATCGTACCAATTAACATTGCTATAGAGTGTTTTATATGATTTCGGGAAGGGTTATATCAAAAATATATATTGTAGCTATAGATATATGGAAACCGAGTTCCACAAATTTTAAAAATTCAGTTGAATGTACAAAAATCCATCCAGTTTATAGGGGGTATATCCAAATTCAAATATCGATACATTTAGCAGAGGTATTTCTCAGCACATTACAAGTGTCAGGGACTTCAACACCAAATCCCTAAGTACATAGATATGTGAGCTATAGATAATCTGAACCGATATTCACCAAATTGAAACACTTGAAATCGGATGAAAGCTTATATGGGGGGCATATATATACATTTGGATCGATTTTAACCAGTTTAAATAAGGTTCACTTTTACACATGTTTACAAAAATACATGGACAGACGGACTGACATACGAGGGGCATGCATAAGAGATGAAATGGATTTTTTTAGATCTTTTGTTCTATTGTTTATGAATCGCCAAATAGACTTAAAAAAATAAAAATCATCTATATTTTTTCAATTTCTTAGTCCAAATATATGCAACACTCTCAATCAAGAAGGGCTTATTCTATTGATTCAAAAATAGATTTTGACATTTCATAACGACATCTCCACATTTTAAGTATTTTCAACCTCAATCAATACTTATTTCTTTGGGAAAAAGAGACAAGTTTTCCGAAGTTTCTGAGCTTCCATAACGAATTTGCAAAAGAAGCGATATATGTTTTCCTTGGTCGCACCTAAATTTCTTAAAGATTCAAGCAAATTGGAAGCTGTGTAGTGATTACAAGCTTTTGTGTTTACATAGCCAGATTAAATTAGATACTTAATTTGGTATAAATAAAAATATCACAATCTGTTACCAAATGTGGATTCAAAACCAAGTAATAATACCCTCTCCATGTATTGGAGTAGGTCATAGGCAAGGGTAAAGAATCTAGGTGAATAAAGAAATATTATAACCATATTCCGGGTAATTGAAAATAAAATGGCTAAAGACGTTCAAAAAGGCTTGATTTTTGGTGAAATATAATTTAGGCCTGTATTTCAATTCCCATTAAAATTGCCTAGTCATTGGATTTTCGTATTCTCAATGTCTATAAGAATATACCTAATCGGTATAGAATGGATCTTCAGAGATATAATATATATTTAGTGAGTAAATACAATTACGACAGATTTTACTTGTACTTGGATTGAAAACTTTCGAGGTTTTGTGGCATGAGGCCACAGAATCATACTTCAATATTTTGGTCCGAATTTCGCTTTTCAGAAATATAATATGCCCCTCTAACCTCACAATTTTTCGCCTTCAGATGAAATGACAGGTGGTCAGACCTCAATTGCTCAAAAAGTGCAATTCGAAGACACTTATGAAAATGAAAATATAAAATGCTTTAAGTTCGATCGTAATGAAAGCCTTCAAAATAAATTAATCGCGATGGAATATTGGACCCACCTAAAAATGATCGAAATCTATATATTCTTTTACATAGACTCTATATAGCGGTATATCCAGAGTATAGCCTTATGAGTTATATAAGAAATAATGAGCCTTTTCAGGTAGGCTACCGAACTTTAAACAATTCCGTTAGAAAATGTGACTAAATTCCTAAAACACAGAATATCGGGTACCACAGGAGAAGATTTCGTTACAAGCTCTAAGTACCGAATTAAAAAAAATGATAGAAAATGTGACGTAAATCGTCAAAATATCGAATATCGGGAGGTGGATATGCGAAAACGAGGACCGTCATGGTCCATTTACGAACTTAACCTGCTTACTGACAAAATATACATGTGTGCAAAATTTTAGCCTTCTATTTGAATTAGTTTGAAAGATAGCGTGATTACAACAGAAAGACAGACAGACAGATAGATTGACGGACATCGCCAATTCGACTTAAAATGGGTCTATCATGAAGATTTCGAGAAGTTACAAACGAATTGAAAAAGTTGGTATACCTTCCATAGTAGGGTGGAGGGTATAAAATTAACTCTAGCTATGCCCCCCATTTTTAGCATGACACAAAAGAAAATCAGCTAGATATAATACCCTAGATTAGGTACAGTATACGAATATAACCTACATTACAAACTTTCATATTAAAATTTCAAATTGTTTTAATAAATTAAAGGCATAAAGCAATTTAACCTGAATTCACTTTTTGATGTTACAGAGGGAAATTGTTTTATATGGAATGACTGTCGAGAGGCCTAATTATGACATATACTAAGAGTTGCGATTGTCGGGGGGTTTACGGTCTGATTTCTATAGTCTCTAACATTCGAGTTGATTTTTTTTTTTTTTTTTTGAAATGAAGTGTGCCGAAAAGTAAATGAAGGATATGCTTTCAATTTTTTTTTTTAATTTACAAAAATTTTAACAACAAATAATTAAATAAAACAATAAAAAATTAAAAATTCAAAAATAAAACTCAACACCCCCCGTTTTTGCTTTTTCTCAGTTCTCCAAGATGTATTCACCCTAAAAAAAGTAAAACAAATTATTCGGTTTATTTTGTTTTTTAATTTATTTTTTATTGTATTTTTTCTCAATATTTAATAAGAAAAAAGAAATCTGTTTAAAAAAAAGATGAAATTGGTATCCTTATCATTAGTGGGTATTTTTGAATTTTCGTTGAGTTCAGCGGCATAATCCAGAATTTATTTATATTCATATTTTTTTATTACAATTATGTTATTTGTCTTGGTTTTCCAGTTTGTCTGTCTGGATTTGAACCTGGATAATCAGTTTGATTTTTTTGTTTCTCATTAAGGCATTGCATTTGCAGGTTTAATGGACCGCCGTTAATAAAAAAATATGTTGTTGCTTTCAAGAAAAAAAAAATTGACCCGGTTGTTTACATTTCAGATTAGATTTTCTGTTTTGTGGTGTCAGCGTTTTTTTCTTTTCTTTGGCCGTTTTGATAACCCTGAAATCTGAAGGGCTTTGCTGCTTAAGTTCAAGGTTTCCACACACACACACATATATATATGACAGAGGAATGCAATCCAGACTGGCAAACTGATAAGCTTGGGCTATAAAAGTACTGGGTTTCTTCCGAATTTTAATTAGTTGCGATGAATGCCTCTCGGAGGATGTATGTCGGATTTTGAGACAATCCGGGGAGTGATTATTTCCAGGTGGCAGTATTTTACTTCCAGTTGCAGTTCATATTCTTCGACGTCGACGAATGGAAGAATACTTTTAATTGTTTTATGAAGAGTCTTAGCATGGGTTGGCGTTCTCTTTGCCTAGATTTCTCTCTCTTGTTTGACTGAGAGCGAGTGATGTATTTGAAAATGCATTTTTAGGGATAGCAATTTTACTTTTTCAATACTTTTATTTTAAAATTTTAGTTTTTTTATAAATTTAAAAAAAAAAAAAAAATATTTCGATTTTGAATATTTAAAAAAATATTCAATTTTTTGAAAATAATTTTAGTATTTTTTTAGTCGTCAAAAAATTAATTTCTCCCTTGATTTGCTCAATTTTTCTTAATTTAAAAAAAAAATATTTTTTTGTCAAAAATCCATTTTCAAAGACATCAACTCTTTGCGGCCTTTTTTTTCGCTTCCATGCCTCACTCCAAAATCCATTTTCTGCTATTTTCCATAATCTGCTGCTGGGCTAAGGGAAAAAATCATTTCAAACCTAAACCTATTCCTCTTTTGTCTGTTTTATTTTCCAGAGTGATTTCATTTTTGAGATTGAGAAATATTTCAATTTTTTTTGTGTTTTTTCGGGGGATGTTGGCTATGCTAATTATAATTAAATATTCTTAAAAATTGTTTTATATTTTTTTTGTAATTTTTTTTTTTCGTTTTATTATTAAAAAATAAATGTATATTAATTAATTTGTATAGTTATATTCAAATTTTTCTCTTGTCATACGTTTTTCAAAACAATTTGTAATTTAATTTCGTTTTTTGGCAAAAATTTTGTTACGATCTCTTCATTTTGTTTTCGCTCGTTATTTCGTTTTTTTGTTTTTGTTAATTATTTGTTTTGTTTTTGTTTCTTTACAACACTTCAGACTTCAAAACTCGAACGTTTTACTATATTTAAAGTTGCGTATTCTAGCTAAGATACTTACAATATACTCAAATTGTTTTTCATCGAGATTGAGAAGAGCCAACAACTGTCCACTCTTTTCGGTGAAATATTGTTTCTTGTACGAGGCCGAGGCTTCGGTCTTGTATTCGGATGGCTTGGCAGCCATTGAGCCATTGAACTGGAGATCGATGTCGGAGGCTTCGTGATTGGCATAGACCTTGACGGTGTAGTTGGCATGGCCCAACTCCTTTTGCAAGTCCTTGATGAGGGCACCCATTTTGATGGCATGGGTCTCATCATTGGCATAGTCAATGACCAGATTGGTATTCAACAGCTCCACAACACCGCGATAATATTTACCCTTGATGCTGACATCCTTTTCCAGGTAGGGATGGCCAATGGTGAAGACAACGGTTTGATGGTCCAAATCAACACCCTCGGTCAGGGGTTGTTTCTTCCAATCCAAACCGGTGCGCACGGATTTCATGTCATCATCCAAATAAGTGTTCCACTTGAAGACGGCATTGGAAACGATATGGTCATCGGTAACACTGTAGCTACCTTCGGCACCCAAGTTACGCTTGGGATAGGAGAGACCCACAACATAGTCATGGGAAACAACACCATCCTGCAACCGAAAAAAAACAAACAATTATTCCAACTCCTTACAAATCCATCATCACCCAACTTACCCTAGTCTTATTGGTCAATTCCAAATTGTAAGCCAACCAGGCATCCTCGGACAATTCCAAACGGCTGCTGCCCTTGATCTTATTGGGTGCCACATTATCATAGCTGCTGGTCCAAACCACAGTGCGATTAGGATGGCTGGCCACCAATTTCACCTCATGGCCACTGGGCTTGGCAACATGGGTCAGCTCACCGGACAGCTTAAAGTTGCCGGCATTCTTCAATTCATAGACTTCCAAACGCTTGACATCCACCAATTCCTGGGGTTTGCTCTTGTCCTGTTTGTTCACATACTTAATACCCAAAGGTTTCATTTCATTTTCCAAAGTAATGTCACGGGTCACAGTGGTCACGGCACCCTTGGTATCCTTAACCGATTTGTAGACACCGTTCAGCACCTGTTTGTCATTGTATTTGGCTTTGATGACACCATTGTCATTGCCATTCTTTTCACGCAAATTGTATTCGATTTCGGCACGATGACGGCTTAGCAGGGGTACTTCAATTTCAATGTTACCCTTGGCCTCAGATTGGCCAGCCTTTTCGTTGAAGGTGCTCTGTGACTTGAAGAAGGCCTTGTCGCTGGGCCAGCTGGCCTGGGCATGGCGTATGGTTTTGGGTCTAAAAATTCGAAGGAGAAATAAAAAAAATGCTACTCCAAAAGGAGTTTATTTAGAACTTACCCCTTGGTATTGAAATCAAATTCAGTCTTCAGCCATGACATTGTGGGCAGTGGGGTGGAGGCATTGAAATAACCATGCATATTGCTCAAATCCTTGAAGGCCAAATTCAAATCAGCCAATTGATTGGAGGCAGGGCTGGCCATGGAGGCACTGAAATGGGAAGAAAATCAAAACCGAATTAAATTATTTTGGGGTTATAAGAAAAAGTTCGCAACCTGCCGATCATTTTTACAAAAAATAATAATAAAATAAATAAATAAAATAATAATAATAAAATAAATAATAAAAAAATACAAAATTAAAAAAAAAAATCCTTTTAAAGAAAATTGAGAAAAACTCTCTTGGGCACCAGAGCCTAAGGACTTTATTCTTCTCCAAAAAAAGCTCTCTCTAAAATTTTTCTTAATCCTTGAACGTGAGAAATTTTCGTTATGGGAAAAATACCTTCCCTTAAAAACTGGATTTTAAAGAATAGCTTCGAGGAAGAAATATTTTTTCTTAAAATATTAGAGCAAAGCTCCTTTAGAATATCTTCTAGGACGAAATATTTTTAAAGAGAAGTCCACTCAAGGACTGAATATTAATTCCTATGGGGAAAATGTCTCCTCGGGATGAGATATTGAGGATATTTTCTTTAAAACTGAGGATATTTTTAAGGGGCATTGGAGATCTCTATAATGAAGGTATTCTTGGGCTTACGGATTTTTATCGACTTGAAATAGCTCAAAAACAGAAAATTCTGAAACAGTGATTGAGAATTATTTACTATAGAAAAAAAAATCCTTCTCAAGACTCAAAATTGTGTTCCATGACCGGAAATTAAAATGTCTTTTCAATTATATCCTCAGGACCTAAAGTGGGCATTTTTCATTTTGTAGAAAGCACTATGTCCTAAAGGGCATTAAAAATTTTGTGATTGGAAAAAAAATCCTTTAGACCTCAGGAGTTTTTACAGGAATTTCCAAAGGAAAATAGTCTCATTTCTGTGAAGGAAAATTATTTCCCACGGGGAAGATATTTCCTCCGAACTTAGCTTCTGTATTTGGGGATATTGTCTCTAGAAACATTTTTTTCCTGAAGCCTTCAAGTCTATCCTCAGAGCCTGAAGTCGCAAATTTAAAATAAAATCCTAGGACAACGATATATCATCCGGACTCAACTTTGTGTTCTATAGCCCAAAATATATCCTCTCTATTTGAGGATATTTTCTCTACAAACAAAATTCTCCTGAAGCCTTCAAGTCTATCATCAGGGCCTGAAGTCCTTAGGGGCATTGGAAATTGAAAATAAAATCTACTTTTTTCAGAGAAATAGTTTATTCTCTGGGATCAAGACTTTTTCGTTGTAAGGGAAATTCATTATCAGGTCTTCCCTGGAACCAAGGATATATTCTCTAGAAATAAATAACTCCTCAAAGCTTCAAAAAATCTGAGAAGGGAAGGTGTGAATGTAAGGATTTTTTACAAAGGGATGATAATTATTTCATATGGGAAAAATTCATCCTCAGGACTTTTCAGGAATCAAGGCTATTTTTTCTAGAAACAAATCTCTCTCCAAACCTACAAAAAAACCTCAGAAAATAGGCTGTGAGTGCAAGGATAAACGGAAAGGATCAACACTCAGGGACTGGGAATTATTTCATAGGGAAAAAGTTTATCCTCAGAATTCAATGTTGTATTCTGTAGCCGAAAATATGTCCTCTTGAATTGAAGATATTTTCTCTAGAAAACATCCCAGTTCCATAGTGACAAGAATCTCAGGCTCTGGAGTGCTCATTTATAAAAAAAATGTCCCTGGACCTGGATTTGCTATAGAGGAAAAATCTGAAGGAAGTTATTTTCAGGGGTTAAACATTTTTTGCTATAGGATAAATTCATCCTCAGGACCTACCGAAGACGTAATCTCCGGATATAAAGAATTTTTTCTAAGAAAAAATCCGGACTCAATCCTTCCTTGAAGGGCGCCCAGGTATTCTTTACTAAAAAATCCATCCTCCAAAAATCTATCCTATGGAAATTATTACTATTTTATATAAAAAAATCCATTCTACTTACACAACATTATGGAATTTATCAGCCACATCGTAGCTACCCTTGACCAAGAAGGTATCCTCATCCTTGTACTTGGGTGTCACCAATTTCGTGTAGAATTCACGACGCAGCTTGTTCTTTCTCAACATATGGAAGTCACCTTCGACAACGGAAACATCCTTCTTTTCGCCCCATTCCAAATGGGCCAAAGCTTGCAAATCGGTGGCATTCTTGTACGAGACACGACCCAGGCAATTCTTTTGGGCATCCTTGGACTTGTATTTGCCTTCGATGAAGAATTCAGGTTTCACACCCTTCTTGGCAATCAAATTGCCACGATAACGGAAGTTCAAATTGTGGGTATCACCGACAGGCTTGGGCAACAAAGTAACCAAGGCAGCTTGGATATCATCCTGCGATTTGTAGTTCAGAGTACCGTTAGCTTCCAATTTCCATTGCGAGTCAACATCCATTTTCACGGCGGTCGAAAGTTTTTGGAAGTTCTTGTTGGGATTCATGTACTTGGCACTGGCAAGGACATTGCGGGGCTTGGTGTTGGGGCGTTGCAAATGCGATTCCAAAGCCAATTGCATGTTTTCAGCCAAAATCCAGGTCCAGGCACAGCTGCCACGGCCGACATTCTCACCAATGCGATATTCACCGGCCACCTTACCGCCATCCTTCTTCAGGTTCAAATCAGAGTGCAGTTTGACATTTTCAATACCCAATTCCTTCCAGGGTGTTTCCAAGGAGACATCACCAACGGTGTGACCCTTGCCGCGTGGACGGAATTGACCATTGAAGTTGATGCGTTTAAGTTCGGGCACGGAAGACTCTACCAACATGGAGAAGTCAGCACCAGTCTCTTCGCTGGCCGAGTAGCCACCGGAAATCTGGCACATTTTACCCTCTTGGATGGCACTGAATTGGAAGTTGTGACCCTTGCCATTGCCTTGGGGTTCGGAGATGCTAAACTCAATGACACCATCAGGACCGCCAGCAGAAGGTTGGACACGCAAACGGGTGTCGGCAGGATAGCCATTGACCATCTTGACAATACCGTTGAGGCCATAGGTATGGGTGTTGCGGTACAATTTACCACTGATGCTGTACTCATTGGGATCCTTGGGCGATTGGGTCAAAGAACCGTGCATGGAGATGTTGCGGAAGTCCTCAATGGGGGTCCAGACTTCGACATCGATGGCATCGTTCTTGTTGCTGGCACGGGTGCCATAGTCAACACGTTCGCCATTGCGGCCCACAACAGTCAAGTCGAAGCTCAATTCAGGATGGGGTTTGGTGAGGACCTTCAAGGAGGTCTCAGCCAATTTCAAAGGCAACATGGTGGTGGAAATGTGGCCATTGGCATTGACCAAATGTGAGGGATCCTTGTGCCAGGCAGTACCAACCTTGATTTCATTGACGACATCATTGTCGGTGACCGACAACTGGAAGTCGACGGTGTTGTCCTTGTCATTGAAGTCGTTCTTGAAGTAGGCACGGCAAGCATAGTAGGGCACAACATCGGTGTTCAGGACAAAGTCCACGGAAGATTCGGTGAAGCTCTCTTCAATCTGAGAAGAAAAACAAAAACGGAAAGTTACACAAAATTCAACCCAAATGTCCGTTCCTTCAACTTACCTCCAAAGCAGCAGCCAATGTCACAAAAGTACTGGGTGTGTGCGATGTCAGGTTACCGCGATAGACATTCTCCTCCAATTGCAATTTACCCGAAACACTCATCTCGGACAGCATCATCAGAGGGGTCTTGACCACAATTTGGACAGTGTGTTCATTGGGTTTAACGGAATCCACCAATTTCTTGTATTCCACTTGCACCGAGGTCACCTTGGGTTCGGATGAGCTATCGCGCAATACGAATTTCACATTCTCGGAGAAGGTGAATTGGTTCAAGTCAAAGCTGTATTGGACAATGGATTTGAATTCACGCACCGCATCGAAGGGTGTGTTCAAGGTGAAGACATTGAGGGCATTCACGTAGTCGGGATAGTAGAGGCGGTCCTTGAAATCAATTCTGCCCTCAGGCCATTGGACATGACCGACAACCAAATAGAAGTCCAAGACCTCTTGGATGTCGACACCACCATGGAGGCTGTCGAAGACAACGGGATCGACTTCAAAGTTAACGGTGTAGGACATGAACTCATTGTAGTCCACTTGGCTGGGGTCGTAATCTCTGGGGTCCACACCCGAGGGGCGGAAATCATCATCGTACAATACCTCCAATTGGACCTTGTTGCCGCCCAATTGTTTCAACAACTTGGACTTGGGATGGCCGTTGATCTTGACACCACCCTTGTGTTGCGCCAGACGACCGTGCAATTCCAAAACGAATTGGTCCTTGGCCACGAATTTGGCAACAAAGCCGCTCTCTTCGAAACCGGCCAAAGGAGTGTAGACGGTGTAGGAGTACTCGAAGTCGGTAATGTTGTCCATGCGCCAGACACCGGTGAAGCCGAGAGTGGCATTGTTGTAGGTACCACGGACATCCACAGTGGTGGGCTTGACCTTGGCAACGACGGCAGCCTGCTTGAAGTTCTCAATGGGTGTGGCAACGCTCAATTTCACATCGAAGTCCATGATGGACACGAAGTCAGCCAAAACCTCAACACCCAAAGCACCATCGGGGGAACGGACCTCAGCAACGACGTGACGTTGTTTCTCATTCAAACCGAAACGGGCTTCCAAATTGCGGTATTTCTCCAGGGGCGTGGTAATGTAAATGGTCAACTTGCTGTCGGCCAATTTGCGAATGTAACCGTCGACGTTAAAGGTGAATTGGCGATTATCAAAGTCCAAGGTGGCGGCACCCTTGATGTCGTGTTTGTCGCTCAAGCTCAGTTGGGCAGCCAGACCACCCTTGCGATAGCCCTCGAAGGGTGTGACAATGAAGACGGTACCGGAAATGTTGTCGTTGGGACCCTTCTTGGTCACCTCCCAGGTAGATTTCACGCTGTACTCGTTGAGTTCCACGGGACCGGAGTGGATGAGCGACACCAATGTATCGTACTTCTTCTTGTCCTGGTAATGGCTCAATTTAATGCTGGCCTCAGGGATACCCTTGACGGTGCTGTTGACACCCACCAAGAAGTCCACGCTGAGAACGGGTCCTTGCATTTTGTGATCGGATTTGAAGGTCAGGTCCAATTCTTGATTGTCGGCCCACAGCAGGGTGGAGTTGGCCAACCACAAGTTGTCGCTGCTGTAGAGACCAGCCTTGAAGCTATTGTGACGCCAGCCTTGGAAGGGAGTGTTGAGTTCGGCATGGACCCAGTTGTTGATTTCCTTGCCGGGCATCAGACCCACGTTGTAGCTGAAGGTGATCAAGTCATTGGTGCTCCAGCTGAGACGGGCCGAGCCATGGTACTGGGGACCACCGGTGAAGGCTTCGAAACCGGCGCTGATGGTGCGATCGGGGTAGGTGATCATGACATTGCCATCGTAACGATCATTGCCGGGGTTGTTGAATTCAACCAACAAAGCGAGACGTTGGGCAGGATCACGATTGGCATCCCATTTCAGTTCAAAGTTCAGTTCCTTGCGTTTGTCCAAGTCCACCACATTGGCCTTGATGTGGATGTCACGCAATTTGTCCAAATGGATTTCCACCTGCAGAGATTTGGGTTGTTCCGACAGCTTGGCAATGGCCCAGTATTCCTTATCCTTAAGCTTCAAGCGCACCTCACCATTGCTGTTCTTGTTGGCGGCATTCTCGTTGTATTGCACAGTCAGGGCATAGGGATCCTTGTCGTATTTCGATTGGACATCGAAGGTGAAGAGCTGTTGATTGCGGCGATAGACCACATTGATGGTGGTTGGCTTGAAGGAAGGACTCTCCACAATGATTTTGGCGTTGTGCAAGGCCTGGACACGTGAGCTCTTGTCCTTGTAGTTACCCTTGACGGAGACGGAGTGGCCAGTGAACCAGGAGCCACTCAAGTTGACCTGGTAGTTCTTGGCAGGGGCTTCGGTCAACTTGACGCGGGCAGTGCAGGAATCGAATTCGGGTACGGTAATGTTGAAGTAGGCATCAACGGCGAATAGATTGCGTCTGGGCAAATGGATTGAGAACAGACCAGTGGCTTCCTTTTCGGGGGCGTAACGCAGGCCCAGGACAACGTTGTGTTCGGTACCGTTCTTGGTGCGTTCCTCGTGTCTGTAAAGGGAAGAAGAAATAATGGAAGTTATTTGAAATTCCTCTCTCTTCCTCTCTCTCTATCTCTCTCACTGATACTCACTTGAATGAAACCTTGTAGTCCATCTTGGATTTGGGCACCTTAATTTCAAAACTGGCCCGGGTGTTGGAACCCTCAGCGGCCTGGTCTTCATTGTAGTTGCGTGCGAAAATCAAACGCATTGTGCTGGCCTGTTTGGCATCCAAGAATTTGGGTCCGGTGTTGAAGGTCAGCTTGCCCTCGGTGTGTCCTTGCAGACTGAGCCAGGTGGCATCACCGATAAAGTTCAATTTGGGATAAGCCGATGAGGTCAACTTGGCATTACCTTGGTATTCCGTCTTGGACTTATCTCCGGTATTTTGCAATTTAGCTTCGAAGTTGATGGTCTCAACCTTGTTCGATTGGAAGCGGTAGTTGATGGACAAATTGGTGGAGGTGGTGACCTCATTTTGGACAAATTCTCCCTTGACCACAGCCTGCAATTTCTTCGTTTCGAAGGACAATTCAAAACCATTTTGGGAAATGCCGTTCTTTTCATTGACACGGATGCTGCCGATCAGACCGGTGACATTGACGCCATTGATGGCCAACAACATCTTGGGCTTGTACATCAAGGTAGTGCGATCTTGCCAGCGCACCAGTTGGACGTTGAGGTCAAAGTTTCTTTTGCCATTGGTGTCCATGTACACATCCAGACGACGATCATTGGGGTGGTTGTAGTAATTGCAGCCGGCTGCAACTTCCGAACGACCGCTCACCATTGACAGGGTAGCCTTGAAGTTGTCACGCTGACTCACAACCTTGGTAAGGGCTTCACGTTTAATCGACGAGCCAGGGGTGTGGAACATCAGAGACCAGACAGAGTCTTCCTTGCCCTTCTTTTCGAATTTGTAGTCGAACACATATTTGTGAGCCGAGGGATCCGATTTCTTCAGTTTGACATTGAAGTCCATGGGACCGCTGAGCAGAAGGCCAGGATAGACCTTGTCTTCACCGCCGGCAGTGACATCGGGAACACTGAAGTCGGAGCACAATTGCAAACCGATGGCCTTCTCCAATACTGGCCAGGTGCAGCTGCTGTTGGAGCGACGGTGTTCAATACCCTTCTGGGGAACTTCCTTGTCCTTGTAGAGCACCAAGAGTTCGGAACGGGCACTGAAGATTTCATTGGTTTCTTGGGGCAAATCGAAGGTGAACGAAACATCGTCCTTGCCACGGATTTTCAGGCTGGCCTCAATTTCAGAGTTGGAGTAGACATTGGACTTGACCTTGATACCCGTGCCGGCATAGAAGAAGTCGGACTGCATGGAGGTAATGACATCGACGGACACGGAAGGCTTGAATTTGCCATTGACGTCGTAGTTCAACTCCTCTTCGGCACCCAATTTCTCGAAATTGCCGAACATGCGCATGTCAATGGAGGAGGCACCATAGGCGTGGATGGCCAAAGGCAAACCAACAGCCAAGGGCACGTTGTAGGAGGTATCGAGGAATACACGGCTCTTGCTGAAAGTGACCTCTTGGCCGCTCAACAACTTGGAGATGTGGTCGATGGGATCGAAATCCTTGAAGCGATCGAACAATTCCATGGCCTCTTCCATGGAATAGTAGCGGACATCATTGCCGAAGATTCTCAAGCCGATTTGGGCACTTTGCTTGCCATGGTTGTTGCCGTTTTGATAGCCAATATCCTTGACCTGGGTGCGGACCTGTTGCTTACGGTTGCGGGCAGGTGGGGCAGCACGGCGAGGTCTGTACAATTCTTCCTCAAAGTTGTAGTTGTCCTCTTCAACTTCTTCCACCACATTATCTGGGGAAACGGGGACATCACGTTTGAAACGGAAGTTGTCCAAGTTCAGGTAGTTGTTAAGGGCACCAGCACCCTCGGGATTCTCGGGATTAACCATGTTGGTGAGGAAAGCCAATTTCTCGCCAAAGAATTCGCTGTTGAATGGACCCTGGGCGCCGAACAAACCAGAAATGGCCTGCTCAAAACCTTCAGCACGGGCGGAGATTTCAAAGAAGTTCACAGACTGGCCAAACAGCTCGGTGGTGAAGTTCCAGTTGGCCATGCGTGGCAAATAGGAATCGGTACCGAAGATGACATTCAGGTCGGTGGTGGCACCAACATTGTACTCATCGAAGAACACGGAGAAGTCGTAGTTGCGGGAGAATTTGCGAATGTCCAGCTTGAATTTCTCGGGGAGATCATCGGCTTGCAGGAGTCCTTGGACTTCAAGGCGGGTGGGTGAGGATGACTTGGCCAAGTTCTTGAGGTGGGAGTAAACAAAGGAGCCAACCTGATTGACTTCTTCACGTTGCAAGGTTTGCTTGATGCGACCCACAGACTGGTAGTCGGGGCAACGCATGGCCTGCAAGTAGGCCAAGCTACGGACCTCAGAGTTCAAATTGAATTTGCCATAGGTGTCCAAGAAGAATGGGCGGTACTTCATGCAGTCGACACGTCTGAAGGCCAACACGGATTCCAAACGCAATTCCAAGTTGTTCGATTCATTGCTGATGATATCCTGGAGCTGGGCAGCGAAAGTATCCGACACGACACCAATGTTACCCAAACCCTTTAAGATGACCACCATGCGTTCGCGATTGCGTCTCTCGCCCTTGAACATGTTGAACAAGCTCAAGAACTCGGTCTCCAACAGATTGACAATGCGCTTGATCTTATTGTTCTGGCCACAGTTTTCATGGTGTTTGCAGTAGTTGTGAACAACGGCGGAGGCACCCAAGGTGTACTCAGCATTAGCCTTCTTGCGGGAGAATTCCAAAATGGTGAAGAATGTGTCCAGGGTGGTCTCATCGGGCCTTTGGATGAACGACATGGAAGTCATCCAGCTGCGAGCAATTTTCTCATCGAACTTATCGTCAACGATTTGATCACGCATCACCTGGTAGGAGGCGGTGCTGCCAATATAGGGCAGGGATTCCAAGACATGGTTTCTGGTGGAAGATAAAAAAGGGAACGACGATTAGCTACAAATTCAAATTCCAGATCAACACCAACTTACCTTCCATTCTCACAGATGCTGCCGGAACGCTGCAACAATTGGTTCAAGGCCTTGTAGTCCAGATGTTTGGTGGTCTGCAGGAACTTGGTGAAGACATCGATGAACTCACGTTGGATCTTAGGTGAGCCGGCGGCACACATTTGCTTCAACAATTCGCGAGATGCCTTGATTTCGCCATGGGTGGGCTTAACGGAGGGAGTGTGGTCGAAGGTGAGGGGGGAACGTTTCTTGATGTCCTTGGCATCTAGAAGGCAGAAAGAGAGAAATAAATATATTGTTCCTGTTTCTCTTCAGGGAGGTTGGGTTGTTGGTTACTTACTTTGATCCAAGAATTCTCCGGGGCTGTAGTTTTGCTCTCCCTTGAATTCCAAACCATAGTGGACGGTGGTAACGGCTCCAGATTGTTTCTTCGAGAAGGGAATCAATTGATGGCGTTCAAAACAGCTGATCTCACGGTAGATGTGGTTGTCAATGGTTAGCTGAAAGGAAATTGGATGGCGTTTGATAAGGACCCCCTTCAAATAACAGTTTTATCTTCTACTCACATTACAATAACTTTCGGTATCCAAAACAGGGAAGACACTGTTGTCACCGCCACTGAAGGCATAGGGCACCGTCTGCAAGAACGAGTGGGTGGAGAAACGGCTGTGACAGCTGCGAATATCCTTCTCCTTGCGAATGGTCACAAAGGCATTGGCTGTCGAAGCCAAGGTATATTGGACACCACAGGTACCCGACACATCAGTTTCGGTGGTATTGAAATCAACATCGAAACGCACCATGGTATTTTGGAAGGCCGACAGGATACCCTTCTTGAAGTTCAAAACCCAAGCGGCTTCCGATTGATCGGGGCACACCTCGTTGATGAGACCATCGTGGAAATCGAAACGCAACACGTTCTTGGTTAGGTCCTGTTGCAGAGCTTGAGTCTTGGCATGTTGACCGGCACCGTTCTTGTCATCCGACAACTGGGCGGAGGTAATGCGCAAGAAACCCTCACAGGGCTTGGGGAACAAAAGCTCAACTTCAGCCTTCACCGACAAGTCGGAGGTGTCATCACCGGTGCCGGCAAATTCGGTGGTCACTTGAGCATTGTATTCGTATTTGTAGATACTGTCGCTGTAACCGAATTTATTGTTTTGATTATCACACTGAGGGCGACCGCAGACCTTGGGGTTCTTGAGAGGATCTGGAAGTGAACATAACATAGATTATAGTTTGTCTCTGTGTTTTGAGATATCCTTGCATGCGGAACTTACTTTGTCTGGCAGCCGAGGCTGTTGAGATTACTAAGACTAACAATAGGAAGCTGGCGCTTCGTAGCGCTTGAAGCTTCATGTTGCTAAATTGAATTTTAACTCCTTTACTTTCTTCTTGGGTTTACAATTCCAAAAACTGTAATTCCATTAGATGAGGGTGGTTAAAAGATGCAGCTGAAAGTGGAGAATAAGAAATGGGGAAATTAGATTTGAAAATAATTTGTAGGTTTGGGTGATTTGAAACAGGCAAGAAAATTTGGAAATAGTGGATGCACCTAAATGTTACTTATCATTCAGTGGATGACCCCACATAGAGTAGATGACGTCAGAGGGCATTTACGATAGGGTAGATGACGTCAGAGGTCATCTACGATAGAGTAGATGATGTCAGAGGACATATACGATAGAGTGGATGAAGTCAAAGGTCATCTACGATAGAGTAGATGACGCCAGAGGACACCTACGATAGAACAGATTACGCCAGAGGTCATCTACGATAGAGTAGATGATGACAGATTTTATCTACGGTAGAGTAGATGATGACAGATTTCATCTGCGATAAAGTATATGACGTCGGAGGACATCTACGATGTGATATATGACGTCAGAGGTCATCTACGATAGAGTAGATGCCGTCGGAGGACATCTACGATAGAGTAGACGACGTCAGAGGACATCTACGATGGAGTAGATGACGTCAGGGGACAACTACGATAGAGTATATGACGTCAGAGGAAATCTACGATAGAGTAGATGACGTCAGAGGTCATCTACGATAGAGTAGATGACGTCACAGGACATCTACGATAGAGTGGATGACGTCAGAGGTTATCTACGATAGAGTAGGTGACGTCAGAGGTCATATACGATAGAGTAGATGATGCCAGAGGACATATACGATGGAGTAGATGATGCCAGAGGACATCTACGATAGAGTGGATGAAGTCAGAGGTCATCTACAATAGAGCAGATGACGTCAAAGGACATCTACGATGTAGTTGATTACGCCAGAGGTCATCTACGATAGAGTAGATTATGCCAGAGGACATATACGATAGAGTAGATAACGTCAGATGTTATATACGATAGAGTAGATGACGTCAGAGGTCATCTACGATAGAGTAGATGATGCCAGAGGACATCTAAGATAGATTAGATGACGTCAGAGGTCATCTACGATAGAGTAGATGACGTCACGGGACATGTACGATAGGGAGGATGACGTCAGAGATCATCTACGATAGAGTAGGTGACTTCAGAGGTCATATACGATAGAGTAGGTGACGTCAGAGGTCATATACGATAGAATAGATGATGTCAGAGGATATCTACGATAGAGTAGATGACGTCAGAGGTGATCTACAAAAAAATAGATGCCTTCTGATGTCATCTACTGTAGAGTAGATGTACATTAGATATCTGTAGAGTATATGACCTGCTAAAGAACACATGAAGCCAGATTTTGCGGCCTCAGATGTCGTTCACTATAGAGTGAATGACTTAGATTTCATTTGATATGGGGCAGGTGACCTCTGATAAGGTGGCCTGAAATATTGTCTACTTCATAGTGTTATCTCTGTGTTTGGAAGATTTTTAGTGGCTGTGCATGTGTTCTGTACGACAGCGATAACCTCCATGTATTTCTGACGTGGCAGACAAATTAGAACTAAACACTCCATAAATTTTCAGAATTTAATAGGACTCAATATCGATCAGTAAAATGCAAGATTTAATGGACTAAAAATATATATTTTCTATTTCTTGTCCACTTTCCCCCACTGTGCCATAAATATTCCCATTTAGTGGTTGATGTTGCCAAATGCCAAAATCAGAATCGGTAATGCATTTTCGGGTAATGCATTTGCTTTATTTTTCTGGTTTTGACACAGCAGCAATAAAAAAAGGAAAATATATTTTTAATTCATTCTCTAAAACAATTCAAATACAAATATCCTGTCATCCGCAAACACACACACAAACACAATCATCCACATAGCATAAACACTTAAGCTTCTTTGTGTGAGTGTGAATTTTATCCTGTGGATAATACTTTAATTTTTTTCCTATGTTCCGGCAAAGATTTTAATTGAATTTTTTTGGGGGGTTTGTTTGTCGGGTTGCAATTTTGCCAGGGGTAGAGAGGGGTGGGGGAGAATTTTTGGGGTTTCTGGCCATATTGTTTTTTGTAATTGCCTTTGATTAACATTTGTGTGTGGCTGGCTGGGTTTTGTTTTGGGCAAACGATTTCATTTTGCACATTCACTGAATCACTTTTTAATGCCTTTTGATCTTTTTACAACGTTAACAACAACTACAACAACAGGGGCGGCAGTGGCAGTGGCAGAAGTGGAATTCAGTGGCTCAGTCAGTCACTCACTCGCTCGCTCATCGAATACTCTACTTAGTGGGTTTAATGTTTTCAGTTTCAGTTGAGTTCTATGGGCGTTCGGTTTTTTGTTTCTGTTTCGTTTGTAACACAGAGATTTAGTACAAGGACACTCGTCCTTTGGATCCTTTAAACACACATACACTCGCACACACTCTTCTCCACTCATTCACCCGGTGTCAACGCGCTTTGTGTTTGTTATGGGCCGTTGTTTTGTTGCTTTTGTGGGAAATTGGAAAAAAGCGGATTTCTCTTGAACACAAATGTTGAATTCATTAGTAGGTGAGTACTCAAGTCCTTTTTCACACACTCTCTCTTCACTTTAGTGATTACTCTTGAAAATTCTTGCACTTTGTTTTTCCAGTTCATATTAAAAATTTCCATTTGATTTGAATTTGATTTTATTTCATTTTTTTGTTTTTGTTCGTGCTTGAGAAAATTTTTATTAAATTTCCATTTGAGTTCATTTTCAAAGGACCAAAAAGCCATATCCTGTTTCAAATGCATTTCACACACACACAGACTCGCTCGCTCGCTATACATACTCGCTGACTAGGGATAGTCCTTTCACTTTTTTTTTGAAATTTATTTTTTTCTTTTGCTATTGCTCCAAATCCAAACGAAATTGTCCTGCCTAGAGTACGGACCTTTCACGGACCTTGGCTTTTAGCAACTGAACCTCTAGACTTTCTATTTGAGCTATTTAATAGCCAAAGACTTTGCCGTGGAATCGAGCTGATAATGGGCCAAGTGAAAACGGCAACAAAAACAACCATGAGAAATGTTTAATCGGAACTTGGAGATTATGTCCTCTGTCTGTGATTGTCTTCAAATAGAATAATCTCACATATTACTTTCACACACGCACACACACGGACACCCATATACCTTCATGTGTGTCTCACTTTCACAGAGACAGACGACGGGAGGTTAAACAATTTGTCCATTAAGCAAAAACAGAGGCAAAAAACAACTCAACTCAACAAACATTGAAAGTAAAGCAAATACACAGAAGCAGAAGTAGAAGAAGAAGAGCAGAAGTAAAGTCCCTGATTAGCCCTGTCAGCTATATTCCATTTCATTTCAGCAGTGTGCTCGGCATGAAATTGAAAATCTCAGTGTGTTATCAGTGACTTTATATGCAGTCACCGTTTCTTATCTTTCGGGTGAAAGCAGGCAGCCTGACCGTGTGTGTGTGTGTGTTTGTTTGTCCAGCAAAATTTCCAAACAGCAACAGCTCAACATTCAAACCGAAATAAAGAGTATCCCCCCCTTAAAAGCGTTAACGTTGCTGTGTTTCGGTCTTTAACATTTGAGCAGAGATTATGAAATGGACGTTACTTGATTTTGGTTTATTTAGGAGTGGATTTAAGGGAAGGAGTTATTAGATAACTGTTGCACATATCTCTCACACACACTTGCAAAAGGGACACTCACACACATACTTGCCATAGAGAAAGAGATCATTCTTTGCGATAATCGTCAACGAAATTGAAATAATCCCCCCAGTTTTATTTGTTTGGGATTGATTGAAGAAGTTCTGTTGTCTTACAAAACAAAAGGGTTTGGGAATCACAAATATTTACTTAATTTGCGACTTCGTTTTTTATTTTGTTTTTCAATCAGTGATTAGATAGTTTTCAAGAAACTTTGAAATTGATTGATTAATATTTGTATTTTGATCATATTGTACATAAGTATAGGAAAAAAAGGTCTAAGTCAAGGTACACGACCTTTTGACAAACTCTGTTCGTATTCTAAACGATAACGTTTTTAGATTCTATGGGAAGAATTATTCTATTTAGAAATTGAATTATCTTTCATTTGCAGAATACCTAAAACCTAAAAAAAGGTGCGGTATATTGTGCTGTTCTGGAGAGCCTTTGCTATCTTTATAGTCGATAAAGACCAAAAAAAGAGTCTTTAAACCAAAGATTTTCCTGCAAAAGACCCAATTAAAATATCTTGAAGCCAGAGGAAACCTCTGAAATAACTTTAAATCAAAACAAGACCTCCGAAAGACTTTCGAAGGAAAGCTTTTGATTTATTGTTATTCATAGGTAGCTGTAGAAAGTTTTCTAAAATTTATTTTTGCTCTTCTAATTGCCTGTCATAGAAATTGTAAAAGAAGACTTTAAGACCATGACAACGTCTAAAAATTCGTCTATTCATCTTACTGTGAAACATTGTTAAAAAAGATCTTTGAAAATTTCAAATTGAAAGCGTACTTCAAGGGCATTAAGAATGTCTTCTTGATCATAGGAGAGCTTTAACAGTTCATCCAGCCATAGGAGAGCTGCAACTGGTTTTCTTGCCATAGAAGAAATATAACGTGTCTTACTGTCAATGCAGAGTTGTAACAGATCATTTTGTCATAGTGATTAGTGATCATGAAATAACAGGCCATCATGCCATAGAATAGCTGCAACAGGTCTTGTTGCCATAGTATAACTGTAACAGGTCTTTCCTACATAGAAGAGCTGAAACAGGTCTTCCCTACATAGAAGAGCTGAAACAGGTCTTCCTGACACAGAAGAACTGAAACAAGTCTTCCTGACATAAAAGAGCTGAAATAGGTCTTCCAGTCATATAAGAGCTGAAACAGGTCTTCCAGCCATAGAAGAGCTGAAACAGGTCTTCCAGCCATATGAGAGCTGAAACAGGTCTCCCAGCCATATGAGAGCTGTAATAGGTCTTCCAGCCATATGGATCTGTAATAGGCCTTCCCGACATAGAAGAGCTGAAACGGGTCTTCCCGACATAGAAGAGCTGAAACAGGTCTCCCTGACATAGAAGAGCTGTAATAGGCCTTCCAGCCATATAAGAGCTGTAATAGGTCTTCTAGCCATAGTAGCGCTTTACTATGCCTCTAGGTATGAAATAACTGTAATACATATTCTAGATCAATTCTATCAGTTATTAGAAAGCTTTTGCCTTAGAATAGCTTGGAATTTCCAAATTTTTACTATAAATAATATCTCTCATGTAGTCTACCTGCCTTTTGAAAGTCGTCTTCATTTATACGGCAGCCTTCCTTATAACCTTAAAGTCAGAAATTTTTCTTGTCTTCTAAGATAATGCTCTTCTGTAAAAATAACTAGGAGAACTCCTAGACTTCTCTGAAAATCTTGGTCTTCTGAAAGACCTTCCAGCCTTCTATAAGAAGAAGAAGAGGTCATCTTCTAGGAGAGGTCTGTCGGTTCTCCTACAAGAAGACTTTGAGGTCTCATGTGAGAAGACTTCAAGGTTTTATATATTGTGGTCTTTTATGAAAAGACATTCTGGTCATCTATGGGAAAACCATCTGTGAGAATAGCTTCCGCTTTTCTATGGGAAGACCTTCATATTGTCTTCTCTGAGCAGACTTTCTTTGGTCTTCCGTGTGAGGAGCTTTTGTGGTTTTCTATGGTGGAATATCTTCCCTTGTCTTCTATAAGAAGGCCTTCTCCAGGTCTTCTATGAGAAGACCCTCTCCTGGCCTTCTATGAAGAGACCGTCACTTGTCTTCTATCTGAAGGCCTTCTCTGGTCTTCTATGAGAATATCTTCTGTGGTTTTTCATGGACGACCTTCTCTGGTCTTCTATTGGAAGTCTTTCTTCTGTTCTTCTATGAAAATACCTTCGTCTGGACTTCTTTGAAAATACCTTCTTCCGGTCTTCTATAAAAAATATCCTTCTGCGATTTTCTTAGCAGCCATTCCTCTTGTCTTCTATGTAAATTGAATATAGTTTCTAGGCAAAAAAACACTTCTTTGAGAAAAACATATAGTCTTCTTTGACAGCCCTTCTAATCTTCTTTTAAAGATATCCAGACGTCTTTTAGAAGGTCTTGTTTTCATTATGAGAAGATCATCTTCTGGTCTACTATGAAAGATCTTCTTCTGATCATCTACAGGGGACCAGAGGAAGGCCTATTGGAAGACCTTCCTCTGGTCTTCTGTGAGGAAAATTTCTGGTCTTCTGAAGAAAAAATTTCATCTCTAAACGAAGACCTTCAGGTCTCCCAAGAAAAGGTCATTCTAGTTTTGTAAACGAAGACTCTCTGGTCTTCTTCGAGAAAAACATTTGGTCTTTTTTGAGAGGATTTTCTTCAAGAAGACCTCCAGTTATTCTGTGAAAAGAAATTCTGCACTTCTATTGAACGAATTCCTAATCATATATGGAGAGACCCAACGTCTTCCACGAGAACACACCCAATATTTTTTTTAAAAACCTCCTGTTAAGAATATCTCCGGTTCTTCTTGTGAAAAGGTTTCAGAGTCTTGTACAAAAATCCCTCTTATCTTCCAAGAGAAAAACTTATAGGCTTTTATAATACATTCTTATAAGGGTAAATCTTCTGGACTGTCATGAGTGAACCTACTGTTGTTCATTAAAAGCTCATTTTGTGAGAGGTTGCCATGGTCCTTCTTTAGGAAAAACATTTTATTTCCTACTTAAGGGCTATCTGTCTTTTCCAAGGTAAAATTCTGTCCTATTATAAAAAAGTTCTTCTATTGGCGGAATTCCTAATGCATTGGTAGGAGAAAAAAATATGATTTAATCTTCTCTAAAAATTCCATTTTTTAGAAAGTATTTTTTTGGAAAAACCACATTTTCCTTTACGAGATTACCTTGTCATTTTCCCTTTATATCTTCTAGCTTGGAATGGGAGAAATTCTGATCTTTTAGAAGTAGATCTTTTTTCTGACGTTTCAAGCGAAAAAAATTGGATTTCTATATGAAATGCTTTATTAGGTAATAATTTTATGTGAACACTTTTTTCTAGGAAAATACCTCCTGAGCACTCTTTCTGGTCTGCTGAAGAAGCCCTTCTGTTGGAACAGTTCTTATCTTCAAGGAAATAACTTTCTAACTTGCCTTTAAAAGCCTTACTGGCCTTTCGTGGGAATTGGTGATTCCTACTTCGTCTTAATGAGAAGAGTTTCCGGTCATTTATGAGAGGTACCTTTGTTTTTCTAAGGAAGAACTCATTGCCTTCTATTAAGAACTGTGGGAACAGTTCTTACCTTCAAGGAAATAACTTTCTGACTTGCGTTTAAAAGCCTCACTGGCCTTTCGTGGGAATTGATGATTCCTTCTTCGTCTTAATGAGAAGAGTTTCCGGTCCTTTATGAAAAGTCCCTTTGTTTTTCTAAGGAAGAACTCCTTGGCTTCCATGAAAAAAATCTTAAAGTGTTGATGCACTTCCAATATACACAAAATCGTGAGGTCTATAAGAAAATCTTTAAGTTTGTTATGAAAATTATTTTTAATAACATTGTTGGCAGGAGGCCTTCTGGTCCTTTTGTTTTAGGGAGGGAAGACATCATTTTAGGATATTTTTGTCTTTTGGAAGAATATTTTCCGGTTTGCTGTTTAAGAAGTCCATCTTGTTTCACCTAAGGAAGCCTACTAGTGATTTCAATTTTTTAATTTATAATGAAAACTTTATAAAAAAAAAAACTCTTCTAGAGGTTCGATTTTCGATTTTGGTTTTCTATTTCTTGTAGTAGGTTTTCTCCGCCCAAAATTTCAATCATCAAATTCTCCGTTTTAGAAAAAACAATCGCTCAAATCATCTAATCAGTTCGTGTCCATTCTGACCTGGTACGTGTTTGCACCCGAGATGTAAATTTCAGTAGAATTTTCATGATTCAGCTTTATATAAATATTTTTTCAATAGAACTTACAGTGAGCGATAATGGTATT